CAAATGTCTCTTTGAGACTCTGCTTTGAATTATTTTGACTGTTTACTCAGAAATCGAATTCCTGGCTCACACAGTAGTTCTATTACTAACTTTTTGAGGCACTAGCACACTGTTTTTCAAGTAGCTGTACTATTTTACTTTCCTATCAACAGAGCACAATGATTCCAATTTCTTTGTATCCTTGCCAATACCTGTTATTTTCTGTATTTATTTATTTTATTTAATAGTAACCATCCTAATGGGTATGAGGTAATATCTCATTGTGATTTTAAGTTGCATTTTCCTAGTAATTAGTGATATTGACTATCTTTTTATGTGATTGTTGGTACAAAATGACTTTAAGAACCAACATATTTTTTTAATCTGAGAAGATAAAAAATTCTCTCTCACACGATAACTGCGAGAAATCTGGTAAGATTTAGCAAGGTGCAATGCTATTAAAAACCACTTGAAATTCAAAATACTTGTATTCTGCTATGGTTCCCCAGTTAGTCAAGAACACTACTTTAAAAAAAAAAACCACACTAATATTGGTTAATTTTTCATCTTCAGGTCTAACTCTTAAATTTTCTTATCACAAAAGTTCTCTCAAATAGCCATAAGTTTCTAATTTTCAAAGATTTTATTACAAATCACCAGAAAACTGCATCTTCTCTCTCTCGTAAGATGGGAGTAAGAGATAAACATGCTGTCCTAAAGAGGAAAGTTATGTTTTCCATAAACTACAGCAAGCTATTTTTCCTATCAAGGTCTCTGTGGTTTCTTTAATGTTATAGGTTTATTTATTCAACAGTGTTTACTCAATACCTACTTGGCAAAGATAAAATGGGATTGTTCCTGACCTAAAAATATCTCATCGTCCAGGCAAGGTCGGCAAGTTACACACAGAAAAAGTGGCATATGTTGACATTGAGAGCAATTCTCCCAAGGTCTTATGGGAGGATAGAGAGACATAATGAGGTGGAACCCAGAACATAACATGGGAGGAGTTGTAAAATATGAGCTGAGGGAATGAGGCACATAATAAGGGCACCTTGGAAGTATTGCAAAATATCAAAGACGCGATTGAAGTTTTTCTATACATACTTTTACTTTCATTCTATTTCTCTTGTCCTTTCCTTTCATTCTTAATTGGTAATTTTGGTCCATTTACTTGTATCTCAATATGTTGCTTGAATGGATCAATTTTGTATAGATGTAAATACCTTATTGGTTATTACTTGAATTTTACACAAGTACAAACAAATGGTGATGCTTTAGCTACCTGGTTTAACAACCATGATCTTACAAGGTAATTTTCTGTATAATTTGCTTTGCACCACATTTATATTTCATTTTTACATGGAGGGAGGAAAATTTATAGTTCATAAAATCATGTCATGTTAAAAGTTTTAAGATGTTCTTTTATTCACTTTTATCTCACTGCCAAGGCCCTGATTTCCTTAGGAGCTTATATTCTCATATTTATTTAATTCAAAAACATTGATTAGAAGTCTCCTTGATATTTGAGTTCATGGCTTGATTATTTTTAACTAGCAGCAAAGGTGAAGGTGCTCTTTCAGGTATTTGTGCTTGAGTTAAGAAAGCTCCTGGGTAAAATTTTTCAGGTTCTGGTGGCATTTGAATGGAATTAATGTCAAATAATTTTAGATTTGACATTGCCTGATGAGCTCATTGAACACAGTTCTACTGTTCTACATCTTAGCACACTGAAATGCACAGAGTTCAAGTCATATGACTAAGGAAATGCAATTAAAATAACAAATTGCAGTACAACCAGATACTCAAAAATGTCATTCACACAGTCTAAATGAATTACTTACAAGAACTGATAGAAGTGCTGTGCCCTCTTTGGAAACATTGGAAGTGGATGATTTATTTAAAAATACATATTAAGTATTAGCATGATCTTACTTTAATTTCTGGCATATATTGTTTGCTTGCACTACATGAAATCAATTTAATAGAAGGGATCACACTCATCTAACTTTTTTTTTAAATGAAGTACTTAAATAAATTAAAACACATGCAGTAAGAGAGAGGGGACTCTACACAGAGACAAAAATAGGCAACAGAATTAACACGAAAATAAGAAACATAGCTCCTTTTTGAGTATGGCTTTTGTGAGTGTCATTTCCTCTCTCGTCTTTTCACATTTCTGGTCATAAAAGCAGGAATGCGCTAATTCTGTTGGTTTTCACAATTGTGGGTTAGCATTAGGCCTTCCTTCAGCCAGCTGAGCTCTTCGAGAAATGAGCGAAAAGCCAGTTATTTGGGTCCTTCAGTTCTACTCTTTTTTAGTTTTTGTTGTGGGGCACACACCTGGAGTGGTTCATTCAACCATCACACCTGTTTATCTTCTGTTTTTAAAAACATTTCTACAGCCGGGCTCGGTGGCTCAGCCTGTAATCCCGCACCTTTGGGAGGCTGAGGTGAGTGGATTGCCTGAGCCCGCGGGTTCGAGACCCGCCTGGGCAGCGAGACCTCATCTCTACAATAAATCAAAAAATCAGCCGGGCGTGGTAGCGCATGCCTGTAATTCCGGCTACTTGGAAGGCTGAGGCGGAAGGATCGCCGGAGCCCAGCAGGTCGAGGCTGCGGTGGCCAGGAGCAGCCACTGCACTCCAAACAAAAACAAAACAAAACAAAACATTTCTACTCAAAGGCTTCTATTTTAAAAATGTTCCTCCTTGGTTGGTATCACAAATATGCATTGCCTTATGAGAGAGGTTAAACAACGATGTTAAATGAAATTGCCTTTATGTGGTCGTGGATTTTTTTGTTGTTGTTTGTTTAAGACTTCATTTTTTAGAACAATTTATATTCCTAGGACTTGTCTTGTTTTAATTACAAAAAAAAAGAAGCTACCAGATACTGAATATGGCTGTGATGGGTGGTGTGTGCCTTATGCACTGTCTCTCATTTAATCATAGCACTATCACTATGAAGTAAATACTGTTATTAATCCCACAAGGTCACACAACTTTGACACAGAACCAAAGGTGAACCTGGAACTTTTTGCCTCCAGGATCGACAGTGTTACCTTGTCCTATGCAACCTATCCCCTAAAGCACAGAGCACACTGCTTTCCAGAGTAGCGTTCTCACTAACATGAATGAAATGACATGCCATATACAATACTCCTCATTACAGTCAGAAATTAAGAAACAATCTAGTCCACATTAGAAATATAAATGCAACCCTAAGACATAAATTTGCTAATTATTCTTCCCCATAGAGGATATAATCTGATAACCAATCTGTCTTATATGCTACACAGACATTGCCAACTTCCAAATATTATTAACTTTAACCTCTGTGTTATTCAGGTAACTTAATTAAAATGGGGAAATGCAGCAATGTAACAAATAACTCTTTCTGGGTCACATGGTGAACTGAGTGAAATATGATGAGTGACTTTTATTTGGAAAAACATCATGTTTCTCTATTTTGACTCAAGGGTGTTAACATTTTTAGTGTTAGCAATAGTTTGTTTTCTTTTAATTCTAGTCGCTACATTTCTTTTCCTTAGTAAAATGGATAAACATCCTAATTGCCAAATTCTAATGATGTGTTCTTAGGTTCTTAATGTATAATCTTATTGGGTTTAAAGTTTTCAGTTGATAAAAGTTTATGAAGCCAGTATTTGCTTATTTCAGAGGATTTTGTTTGTATGTTTTAAAGATACATTTTACATTTTTCTCAGGCAATTTGGGCTAGTATTTGTCCTTCTTTATCATAACAACAAAGGTTTTTCACCTTGCAATTTTATGCAGTTCAGATAGATTTGGTTTGTTTTTCCAAAAATATTAATAGAGTATCTGCTGCATGTTTTTACAAAAAATATTTTTTGTTCTTCGTCTTTAAAAGGATATGTTTATTCAGAGAAAGTCTATGAATCAATATGAGACTTGTTTTTTTACTTTTTAAAAATATTGGCTTCAACTTTGATGAGAAGCTTCTTCAAGAGGCCGTTTTGCTGTTATTGTTTTAATATTTAAGCAAATAAAAATATACATTTATGATAATAATTGTGTTTCTGAGAAGATATAAACCTAAACATCATTCCTCCTTTCATAATACTGCCTTATCCTCTCTATCCACATGAATTCTCAAATGAAAACATTAGCTACGGCTCTCTTAGATTCTTCTTTTGTTGTCTATATCACCCATACATAATGGAGTGAGGAAGAAGTGATTTTGATACATTTATTTTTGTTCTAATATGTGCAGAAAATTGATAATAATAAGAAGCTAACCTCTGAATTTCTTTTATTTATTTACTTATTTATTCTTTTAGTTGGAGTCTCACTCTGTTACCCAGGCTGAAATGCAGTGGCAAGCTCATGGCCACTGCAGCCTCTACATGCTGGGCTTAGGTGAGCCTTCTGCCTCAGCCTTCCAAGTAGCTGGAACTACAAGCGTGCACCACCACCCCCGGCTAATTTTTTTGATTTATTATAGAGATGGAGGTCTCCCCCAGTTGCCTAGGCTGGTCTTGAACCTGTGGGCTTAGGCAATTCTCTCACCTCAGCCTTCCAAAGTGCAGGGATTATAGGTGTTAGCCACCACGCCCTGTCTAACATCTGAATTTCATACCTGGCAGTGGCTTTCAAATAAATGTTCTTCTAATTTGGCTTTATGTCTCTCTTGTTAGTAGGCATGAACCACTTTAAAGAGAAGGGCACAAAGATTCGGAGGCATGAGTGTCAAGTCCAAGCTAACAAACCTCGTAGAGTTACAAGTTAAACTTGGGAGTCCTAATCACAAGTCTCATTATAGTTCCACTGCACTTTCCATGATTAAATGTAGAAATGAGAGAAAGAAAATAGAGTAAGCACATGTATAATTTAAATTACAATCTATTTAAGCCTCAGGGAGCTGTTTAGAGTGTAACAAGGAAAGATAATTTTAAAAAATTCATCAAATTGGTCACCTTAGAAGTGATACCTGAATTGAGACTGTTGTTTCAACACATGAATCCTTTACTTTGTTCATAGCTGCAAACATTTTTTGAGACATTCCTGAGAGCCAGTTCACCTCTTCGGGCTTTTGATAACATGAAGGAAGCAATTAGCAAACTCCTGCTTGCAGCTGAAGTATTCAGTGAACCATCTCCTCTGGGACCAAAGACCCTCAATAGGTAAAAACAAATTGAAATTAAAAACAAAAAAGAAAAATTTACCTTCTAAAAATTGTTGGTGAAAATATATATTAATTATTACAGGTACTTGGTACTTGGAAAAATGTTGTAACAGTATACAAAGATGATTTTCTAAACTTATGTGGTCCAGTTTATAGATTCTAAAGCTTCAAAACATGTAACGGAGTCAATAATATCTAAATAGTGGTGACAAGAAGTGCAAACTTCTAACTTGAATTTTAAAATTTCAGTCCTCTTTCAAACTCAGTTATATCTATCACTTATGCTTGGCATTGACTAATTTTACTGATATAGTATATATAAAACATTTTGTTCTCAAATATCCTACTGATTTCATAATGCAGAGAAGAAAACAAAAAAAACTTTGCTAAGAAAATTTAATAACCTATGCCCCTATATTTCTGTTCACTTGAATATAATTTATTGCCTTTTTTCTCAGGAAATGTTAAATCTAGTTTGTCAAAAAAGGGGAGCAGCTCAATTTAAACTTTATCATACTTCTTATATGAATAACTCCCTAGCATATAGATATTTTCTTCTCCATATGTAGGTTTTAAAGAAATAACTTCATTGTTTAGTTGTATGAGTCATAAATACTTGAGTATTTCTGTATTTTCTGCAAAGTATAAACAGAATCCAAATTCAAGAATTAACTCTATGTAATTTCAGATTATCCAAGCCACTACTCTTTTTAATTAGTACAGATTTTGAAATTTAACTGTAGTCATTATTAATAGGATACCCAATAACAGAGCTAATGTGGCAAAGAAAATATAATTTTATGTTACTTTATGTTTTTATTTTAGATGCAGATTATGTTTTCAACTTTTAACGTTTGATATTGGTTATGGCAGTTTCAGGTACCCAGTAGTGCTCCAGGTGAGTAGGCTAAAGGCCTCATGAATGGGGTGAATTTCCTTTTGGCGAAGGATCCCCCCCCCCGTGTGTGTGTGTGTGTGTGTGTGTGTGTGTATGTTGTAGTTGTTGTGGTTGTTGTCATTTTCATTTATAGTAACCAGTCAAGAGCAACTTTTTTCAAAGCCAACATAGGCTTGTATTCACTGTGGTTCAGGGAATTAACCAGGATATGGAAAATATATTTGTTCCTATAAAACATAGATGAATTTTTCTATGACTCAAACAGTGCTTATAAAATAAATGTAGTATAAAGTAAAAAAAATGTTAGTGGAGGAAAGCAGACATGTAGATAATAGAAAATAGCAGGTTACGCACTGTATTTACATGTTGTTATAAAAAAAGATAATTCTCTTATTCTTTACATATAATTTGATTCAAAATTGATCTGTATTTTAATCTAAAAAGCCACGAGAACTTTTGAAAAATTTTTAGTATAAGTGTGTGTAAATCAAAGTTTTAAAAAATATACCTTGATTCATTACTCTCCTCCCCAGTATACTCTTCGGATCATCTTCCCCAACATACTTTTCCTCTAAATAGCCCTTAGTAGCAAAAATATTTTTTTAAAAATTATTAAATTAGTCTATAGTAAACCGTACCTTGAGATATGGAGTGGAAATAAGGAAGAGGAGGAAAATAAAATTATGCATAACCAGAAATCAACTTCGTATAGCATTTAAATGTTTTCGAACTATTATACAGGTATACCAGTTGATTGTACATGGCTCAGACACTTGGTTGAATAGTTCTAAGACTTATCCATAACATTTTGATACTTTATAAATTGACATCTTTTGGTAGTCATTTATTATTGTGCACACATATATAATACTTTGTATTATGCCTTTTAAAATGTTTTGTTCTGAAAAAAGGTTGTGCATTATCTTCCATGGACACAAATTCTTCAAATATAAACGGTTTCAAGATAAATTAATGTGACTTTATAATACAGTCACATATAGTTTTTTAATACCAAACATTAAAGAGTTATGTCTTTAAATTATATCTTTAAAGAACACTACTCACATTTATAAAACTGTTGATTTCCAGAAAGACCACTAGATGTCAGTTCTGATCTGCAATCCAGCAGGAAATAAATCTGTCTTAGAAGTCCACTGTCTTAAAAGTCAGTAAAAAATATTTGCTGTACTTTTACTTTTTCAAAGGTACATGAGCATTTACATTTTCAAGATAATTATAACATGGATTTTGAGGACCAAAATACAGAAGAATTCCTTTTAAAAGACACTTTCAATTTTCTCTTCTCAAATGAATCATCACTTTCTGTATTTTCTGAGATATTTCGGAGACTTTATAGATCAAATGTATTTAAGGTAAGTGCATATTTGTGTACTGATTTTTTTTCAAGTGACACTTTAGAAGATGCTATTCTATTTATTGTGCAATTAAGCACCTTGATAATTCACTTGAAATTAATTGGTATCTGTTATATTACATTTCTTGTTTTTTTCTGACCTGAGGACCAGTATTATTTTTTTATGTCAACTAAGTATGTAGTGACTGATTGTAATGAAATTATGGAATGAAAATGAAATAAAAAACAGTCCCAAAGGAATATTTGTGGGTATCATGAATAATATGCATTATATATTATAGAATACTTTTGAGAGGAATGTTAGAATTCTTGGGAGGCAATCTAGAACAGTAATGAGTGTTCCAGATTGACATCAGAGAACTTGAGTTATAACACTAAGTTTTTGTTTTGTTTTGTTTTTTGATTTGGAGTCTTACTCTGTTGCCCAAGCTAGAGTGCAGGGGCATGCTCAGGGCCACCGCAGCCTCGACCTGCTGGGCTCCGGCGATCCTTCCGCCTTATCCTTCCAAGTAACTGGAACTACAGGCGCGTGCTACCAACCAGCTAATTTTTTATTTAGCTGGTCTCGCTAAAGTCCCTGGGCTGGTCTCGAACCCGAGGGCTCAGGCAATCCACTCACCTCGGTCTCGCAAAGTACTGAGATTACAGGCTGAGCCACCAAGCACGGTCCAACACTAAGTTTTTTTTTAAGGATTCACATATGTTAACATGTTTGGCAGATGCTGATGAATAGGGTGTAGTACTTCAGAGTAGCACTGGTTGATTTTTATGGCATGTTGGTGTGTCCCCAACCTCACTACCAAAGCATCATTGAACTTTTCTATCTAGGTCCTCCATGTCAAAAATGGAGTTTTCTTATATTTAGACACCGCTGTGACAAATTGAAGTTTTCATGTATTATTTAGCATTGATTAACTCCGCTAATTATTTACAGATATTGTACCCTATAGAGTTAAAATTTGATTAGTTTATGAAATGGGAGATGATTGGGCTAAACATGGCTTGGCTCTTTAGCAATTGCTTAATTTTTAAAAAAATTTTTTCTCATATAGGGTGAAAACTATCCAAAAGAATTAAGTCAGTGTCTGTCTTTAGAAGAAATTAACTCAATTATGACTTTCATAAAGGAACTCGGGAGTCTGGGACAATTCCAACTGGTAAAACAAAAGCGAGATTTTCTTTCTCTTGATGACTGAGATTATAGTAGATCAGCTGTAAGCTACCTGATTCTGACTTCAAACTGGATGAAGATATTTCTCTAAGAAACATAAAGCTTTATAAGTTTCTTTCCCCTTTTCAGAGATCTAAATAGCAAGATGAGCAAAATTAAATGTTTTTATTTTATTTTATTTTTTGAGTTGGAGTCTCACTCTGTCGCCCAGACTGGAGTGCAGTGGCTGTCCAGGCCACCGCAGCCTCGACCCGCTGGGCTCCGGCTATCCTTCCGCCTCAGCCTTCCAAGTAGCTGGAACTACAGGCAAGCACTACCACACCCGGCTAATTTTTTGTTTTACTGTAGGGATGAGGTCTCACCAAGTTGCCCAGGCGGGTCTCGAACCCGCGGGCTCAGGCAATCCACTCACCTCAGCCTCCCAAAGTGCGGGATTACAGGCTGAGCCACCGAACCCGGCAAATGCTTTAATTTAATAGTTGACAACCAATATTTATTAAAGGTGGAAGAATATGGGATTAGCACAGCTGCCAGAATTTGACAGCGTTCAAATGGAAAATATCAACATTTTTCTGAAGAAGTTTTGCTTTTAGCTTTGGTACATTTACATGCAACCAAAATTGATTTCTGTTTATTATACCTCTGTTGTTTGTGTTAAATCAAATATAATTGAAAATAATAAGAATATTTTAGAAAACTACCTAAATCTTAATTTGTTATAACTCTATATAAAACTTCAAAGAAAGAAAAGTTAAGAAATTATACTAACTTTTCCTGGTTTATACCTTTAAGAAAAGGAATTTATTTTCTCTTCTATATATTTTCTTGTTCTGTTTATTTTTTGGTCAGTATCAAAGGATACTTTATTACAGATGAATGTGCATGCTTAGTATTTACTTTTGATTCTTACGTGTGTGTGTGTATGTGTGTGTGTGTGTTACTATCCCCCAAGATACCAAATGAAATTATTTCCAAAGCAAACCAAGATATTCACAAAGCATGTATGTGTTCACAGGTACAATGTTCACAGCTCAGATGTGTATCATGCTTTAAATATTAATTAAATAAAAGAAAACTTCATGGAAAAAATATAATTACATATGCTACTTTATGATTTTAATCAATTGACTAAATTAATAAATGTCTGACACTTGCTCAAATATAGCCCCATATTTTGGTAGGTTCAAATTAAGTTTATTTCCCTAAAGATAATTGAATTAGCACATTATCATTTGAATTAATGTAAATATAGTGAGCATCACGTTCACAAGAGTTTGGCTTAGTATTATAAAAAGATAATAAAACCAACCTAGTCTTACCCTTCAGGAATTCATATCTTTAGATATTGTGAATGTGGTAAACTTCTCTCAACACAATTTGAAAAAGAAATGAAGAATTATTTTGCAAGGGTAAACTCCAATTTCCTGACCTCAGAGTAGAGAGAGGATAACCATTAATTTTTTTGCCGGGGGGCGGTGAGATTAACATATCTCATCATGATATAATCCACTTGTTACCTGACAGGTTTTCTTATTCTTCCTTCTGCCTGACTCAGTTATTCAGGTGTTTTCACATATTTGTAACAGGAAGGAGAAATTATTTCTATTCAATGGAAAGAAAAGAAAATGCACCCCTTTTACAAATGTGATCATTGACCAAATTAGCTCCTTATAAAAAGTGGCATCTACCTTGACAACTGTACAGAAAATTAAATTGTAGTAGTGACCAATGCATTTTAAATAAAGAACTGATTTTTCAAATATTTGATTAAGTATAAGGACTTTAATTTGTGCTGTTTGAATATTCCTTTCAGCTCTTCCCATCTACCACTCCTGGGATTCAATCTTTGATGCGTGAATTTTATGATATGGCAAATCCTATGGGAAAACCTGGCTCAGTCCTGACCCAATACTGGTCTCTTTTAAATGCATTTGAACAATTTCAGCTCATGAATACAAAGGCACAGCTACATCCACTGGAATGGTAAGATAGCCACAAATTTGAATTGCGCTGTCCAAATATATTTCTAGTCCACATATTGATTTCAAAGGGCTTTGCCTACATTGAAGAAAGCAACAACAACAAAAATGTGCCCAGATTTTCATGCTCTGGAAAGTAAATGTCTTTAAAGCATTGAAACCATAATGATTCTAGTGGTCTTCAAATACGTCCAACAGCTTTTCAAACCAACAAGACTTGACTACACTATAAAGTAATGCTTAAAATTGAAAGTTTCAATATAGTTTCATTCTATGATATATATCCTTGAATTGTGGCAGTATCAGACGGAAAAAATTAGGTGAGATTTGTTTTTGAACCTTCCGTCAGAGTACAAGCTGTATACAGTAAAAGTATTTATTCAGAGAGTTTTTGTGAGGTGTAACTTTATTCTGGGTCAAACCTGTTTGAATATATGTAAATTTTATTGTTTCCACTTCCATTCTAATGAGAGGCAGTAATTAGGGAATGAAAGGGAGCTGTAGCAGGTGAAATTATGCCTCTAGTAGCTGGTGAAAAGGAGTAGCACCTACAGTTTTGCATGCTTTTTTATATGGATGGAATTAAGGATTGGTTGACTCTTCTACTGCCAGTGAAACAGAAGTAAACCTAGACCTCCCAGGAAGTTGAAAGGCTCAATGGCCCTGCCACCATTACGTACGTCCTTTGCAGTCACCTTCAGGAATGGCTTCAGTTCTTCTTTTTTTTCTTTTGAATCAGAGTCTCACTCTGTTGCCCAGGCTGGAGTGCAGTGGCATGCTCATGGCCACTGCATCCTAGACCTGCTGGGATAAGACAATCCGCCTCAGCCTTCCAAGTAGCTGGAATTACAGGCATAGACCACCATGCCGGCTACTTTTTTTGATTTATTATAGAGACAAAGTCTCACCATGTTGTCCAGGCTGGTCTCGAACTTAACCAGCTGCAGTAGCTCACACATATCTCCCAGGACTTTGAGAAGCTGAGGCGAGAGGATTGCCTAGCTTCAGTTCTATTGACTTTATTTTCTTCTGCCTCAGGAGATAGTGAAAACAATTCTATAAAAAACTTATTTTATGATTCAAAAATACAAATAATTATATATTTAGATAATTCTCAGGAAAGCTCCCAGCATCAGAACTCACTTTAATTCCCATGCCATTATGATGTTGGCCTCATTTCCTCAATACAGTAGTGCCCTTTGCACTCGAATGTTCCCTCTGAGGGGACACAATAGATTGCTGGTGATTATACAGGACAAACTTATGCAAGCGCAACTTTTTCAAAAATATACGTTTTCTTGCAGTTTTCCATTCAAATTGCATGAAAAAGCAAATAAAGTGATAGACTATATACTGAGATATTGATCAATTGAGAAGTGGTTTTCAGGAATCACGAGTGCGTCCTTCCACATCTTCAAACAACAGACTGGACAATAAATTACATATTATTAATGTGGGAGGAAAAACAATGAGACTGCATTGTCTGCTCAAATAGAAAAATATCAGGTGGAAGATGTCCAACAAACAATTGTTGCACAACATGTATCCATGAACCTGCAATGCATATTGGTGACTGTTTTCACACATGATCATATGTTAGAAAAATATAAGATATACAATTTTGATTATTTGTCATAAATAAGTTCCTCAATATACAAAATTCCATTGTAAGCCAAATATCATTACAATAAAACAATTGGTTGTAACACTATACTATTTAGTATAAAGTGATTCCTTTTTTACTATTTCATAAAAAAGTGTAGTCAAGTTGCCGATAGGTGATCCACAAGATATTTCTGAGTGCAAAGGGATATATGTATACACACACACACAAACCCATCCACACATATTTAATTATCATTCATGCCATATTGTAAGGAAGATGCATGTTGTACACATTTTCCAGATGAGAAACTAAGATGCTAAGAAGTTGGTTCGTTTGGTTAAGTTGCAGAGCTAATGGAGTGAGGACTAGTACCCTGGCCTTCTCATCCATGGTCTGGTGTTGTGTTCCATTACATCAAGCAGACAAGGAGGTCATCATTACCCTTATTTTCACAAGGGTCACCTTCCATTTTTTTCTACACAAAACGTCTATTTTATATGTGTATGCTACCTATGTGGTTCAATGACTTCATCTTTTCTTTTAAATAAAGATTATCTGCTTGTAGCAACAGGTGAGGCGAGAGAAAGTCAGCAGGTAACATTAGTAGAGGCGGGTTGTGTGTGTGCCCTGAGGCTCAAGATCAAGAGATCTCAACAGAATGAGTATAAATTTGAACAGAATGAAAATCTTAAAATCAGTTTGGGCACCATGTGCTAATTTGTACTTTAGTAGAAATAAAATCGCCTTTGTACTTTGATCTAATGAAATGCTTTCCATGAAAATCCACAAGGATTTGAAACAAACAGTTTATTCGCAAAATTACACAGAACATCACTACAAGATGCCTTTATACACATAGTGTCTCACTCCATTAAGATAGTAATGTTGCCAAAATTGAGTTTCAGAATTGTGCATTTCAGGGTTGTATCATTTGCAAGATTCACCTGGAATAGACACTTTAAAAAGTAAAGCTGCAATAAAAGTATCACACCTTCCAGCATTAGTCATATTTTAAATTTCTCTATTCTTCTTAATTTTCTATCTGATGTTTATATTTTGAAAGAATTGAGTATGCCTTATTCATTTCTTCTTTATTATGGTGCCCAGCACAATATTTTGGACAATAAGTATTTATAATATGTTTTAACAAAGAAAATGCTATTTAATTCTCATGGCATCCTGTGGAGTAAGATAATGATTGTTATCTCCATTTTGATGGGGTAGAAATGGAGACCGCACCAGCATGGGAAAGTCATGCCAAGGGCCTGCGGACCATCATACCTGGTGTCCTCTAGCATCCAGACCAGCAATTTTTCTGTCTGCAGTTTAGAATATTTTGGTGCCAAATTTAAGGATTTAAAGGGCAATCTTGCTAAGCATTTAGTTATACAGTAGAGAAAAGGAGGCGAACAGAGACAATTCAGATGTAACTAACCCTTAACATTCACTACTGTTAATCAAAGTTTAAGGACAGAAGCCTTGGCAAGACATCAGGCATTTCTGCATGGTACATTTATATTTCTTCAATTAGATGCATGTTCTTTTTGGGCTGTGCCTCAAAGTTTCCAAGACTTCTTGCTACAAAACTGTACAACTTTAGCCAAACAGATTGCAAATAAGAATGTGTGTTCCTGAATCATTTCTATTCGACCGAGCCTGTCTGAGATTCCTCACTTTTGGACTGAAGAGTGACTTTTTGCCCTGGTTTTCTTCAAATGCACTTCTACTGATTAGAGATGATGATATTTCCACCCACCCCCTTTGGGCTAGATGGCCAGTTTTGAGTAAAGAAATCCAGGAAGTGGTTCTTTGTGTTCATCAACATAATTGTGTCCATACAGAAGAAAAGATAGTGTGTTAGATGTGATTTCCATGTATTTTGTTCATTTCATTAATTCTGAGTTGCTTGGCATTGAATTTGTAGGAATTCCTTCACAGAGGATGAGAACATTGAAAAACCACAAGTGTCATTTGGTACAATAGAAAATAAAAAAGGTAAAATTTTATATTTCCCCTTATTTCAACATAAAAATAATTATTTCTTGGTCAAAAAATATACAAAATATTTAACTTTCTTAGCAATAAAAAGAAAGTAAATGAGAAAATGCTATTTTCTCTCAAATTTGGGAAGATTTTTCTTCTTTTTTTAAAATTCGGTCCTCTTTTGATGGGCAGCATGGTTGTTCCATGTTCTTGCTACTGTGAACAATGCTGAGATAAACATACATGTGCAGTTATCTTTTATATAGAGTAGTTTGAGTTTTTCTGGGTATATTCCCAGTAGGGGGATTGCGGGATTGTATGGAAGATTGATTTTTAGATCTTTTAGGAATTGCCACACTGTTTTTCACAGAGACTGTACTAGTTTGCACTCCCCCAAACAGTGAGATTTTTATTCTTAAAAAATAATAGAGTTGGGGCTCCAGTGATTCCCCTACTGGGTATATATCCAAAGGAAATGAAATCAGTGTGTCAAAGAGATATCTGCACTCCCATGTTTATTGGAGTACTATTCATGATAGCCAAGATATAGAATCAGCCTAAGTGTCCATCAATGGATAAAGAAAATGGTGTCTATATTCATGATGGAATGCTATTCAGTCATTAAAAAAGAATGAAATCCTGTCGTATGGGACAAGATGGATGATTCTGGAGGATATTATGTTAACTGAAATAAGCCAGATAGAGAAGACAAATGTCTCATGATCTTATGCATGTGGAATATTTTAAAAAGTTGATCTCATAAAAGTAAAGAGTAGAAGTGTGGGTACCAGACGCTGGAGAGGGGATGAGTAGAGATTAGTTACAGTTAGATGGGAGGAATACATTCTGGTGTTTTATTACACAGTAGGGTGACTATTGTTATATGCAAGGCCTGACAATTGAGTTTACAAACTCATCCTAGAAAAAGTGCTACATACCTCACTGTGAGTCAGCACTTCAGCCACCTTCAAAGTATTCCCGTTGAGAAGCTATGCACCAATGCCAGTACCTAGTCAATGACCCGTCGAAGTCATTTTGGAACTCTTTTTTTGGAATGGTCGTCAGAGCTGTCTGTAATTCTAATCATTTGGGAAATTACTCATATAGTAATAGGATTACAGAACTAGAAGAAACCTTAGTAGATCATCTTCAGGCAATGGGTTACATTTAGACCATTCATTTTTCTCCCTTAATATTTTTTTATTTGAGATAGTCATTATTCTGAGCTTTGACTCAGTAACTTATTTTGTTTAATTGTAGCTTTCAGTTTCAGAAGTGCTTACTGGTATATAAGAGTTAAATAAATAAAATATGTTTTAATAATTATCTTATGTTTGAGATAACTAAGTACTTTAAAATTTCTGATTAATAGTTTTCATTTTAAATTTACATGTCTTTCTTCTTTTGCTGCAGTTCCACAGATTATGAATGAAAATAAAGAAATACATTGCAGTAATGGTAAGTTGGTATTAAAGTGTTTCAGTGGCATAATCAACAGTTAGACTCGGCCCTGTGTGGAAAAAAATTATTATTTAATCATATTTGAGTATCTTTGGGCTGCTAATTTGTTTCAAGTAAACTTTTAGAAGTTATTGGATTTCTGACTGAGTCACTATCACGTTTGTCTTTTTTTTTAACTTTTAATTTTTTTTTTTTTTTGAGTTGGAATCTCACTATGTTGCCCAGGCTGGAGTGCAGTGGCATGCTCATAGCCACCGCAGCCTCGACCTGCTGGACTCAGGTGATCCTTCAGCCTCAGCTTTCCAAGTAGCTGGAACAAAAGGCACATGTCACCATGCCCGGCTAATTTTCTTTTTTTTTTTGGATTTATTGTAAAGATGAAGTCTCACCAAGTTGCACAGGCTGGTCTCGAACCCATGGGCTCAGGCAATCCTCTCCCTCAGCCTCCCAAAGTGCTGGGATTATAGGTGTGAGCCACCTTGTCCAGCTTTTAACTTTTACTTTTTGAGCATGAAGTGTTATGTTTGTTTGTTAAGGAACTGTGACTTCCAAACTCACTTTGAGGGACCCCAAGAGTATCAATGCATTGCCTTGGCGACCATTCAAGTGGAGGGGCTTGTCTCATTGGCTTTATACATTGATCTTTACGGGTCTCACCACCCCACAGTGATTTCTTTCCTGCTAGATTGTTGCTGTAATGGATAGTACTATGTACTATGTACAAATTTTCTTATAGCATTTGAGTTTTTCACTTATTTTCTTAAAATATATGCTTATTTAACCAAGGCATAATAAGAAACAATGTATGCGTGCTATGTTTATATAAACTTTAAATTTAAAAATAATTTTCTTCATTTTGATAAGTATTATTACAGTGGTCTTGCAAATATACCATTCCAGAGAGTCTAACTTACTTGTTCAGGGTCACAGGACTATTAAAATGACTGAGCTAAAGCATGAAGCTTGTCTTCAGATTATTTGTTCAAGGCTCCTGGATTTTCTTAATATCCTATAATGTGTCATAGAAAACTAAGAGTTTAGCCGGGCTTGGTGGCTCAGCCTGTAATCCCGCGCTTTTGGGAGGCTGAGGTGAGTGGATTGCTTGAGCCCGCGGGTTTGAGACCCGCCTGGGCAG